CAACACTCTTACGCTGACACCCTCGCCCTTATACCCAACCTTGGCACCGAAAACCGAATTCGAAAACCCGAGGCCTCTGCGGGGCCTCCAAGGGGCCTCTCGTCGCCTCTGGGGGGTCTCTTGGGAGCTTCGGGGGCTCTCTTGGGGGCGTCCTGGAGGCCTCCCAGATGGTCTTGGCGGCATGTTGGGAGCCAGACGGCCCACTATAAGGCCCCACGGCCCTTCTTGGAACCTTCTGTGGGCCCTCTTGGGGCTCCCTCGGAGCCCGCTTGGGGCTGTCTTAGGCCGTCTTGGGGGCCTTCCTGGGCCGTCTTGGGGCTGTCCTAAGCCGTCCTGGGGCGTCCTTGGACGCCTCTTGGGGCTGCTTGGGCGCAATGATCTCCAAGGGAGCGGATATGCTACAAGCATACGTTTTACGAAAGGGATGGGGCCGTTTTGGTCTCCCGGGGCCCTTTGGGGGGGCCTCTTGGACCTCTCTTGGGGCGTCTTGAAGGCCTCTGGGTCCTACTGAAACCATATTGGGCCGTCTTGAAGCGCTCCTGGGCCCACTTGGGGCCCTCTTGGGGCTCCCTTGGAGCCCGCTTGGGGCTCACTTAGGCCGTCGTGGGGCCCTCCTGGGCCGTCTTGGGGCTGGCGGGGTCCCCGGGGAGGTCCCGCCTTCAGGGTCGGCGGCGCAAGCCGTAAAGCCGTCACAATTCCCATCGAGCTAGGCGGATTACCGGTGCAGACATATAACAGTCTTATATGTCTACACGGGCATGTATACATGGGGCATGTATACATGGGCATGTATCTATATGTCTGCATATAAAATGTACAAAATTGAAAGGCATGCATACATGGGGCTGGCGGAGGCTGGGCCTGAGCGAGCGCCACTTCGTCAAGCGACACCTTTTTGTGCGCAGCCGCTTCGCGGGCCCGGATGGCCTCCGACGCCGCCGCATTGGGCGGAGGGGGGGCCGTCTTCCGGATAAGTAAAGCCCGCTTCTGGCGACGATGCGTGCGGGGCGACGGTCGACGACAGGACCTTCACAAGACATACATCCGCCGCCGTGTCGTGAGGCAAGATCTTTGAGCAGGGACCGACCGCCCCGGCATTTCTATGATCCCTACGAAATGTTCTTGGAACCCAAAAATGTTCTAATAACAAAAACAAGGTCCTTGGGACATAATCCCGATGTGATAAAACAAGACAGTCCCAACCAGAAATGTTCCAAGAACAGTTCGTGGAAACCACAAAAAAAGGTTCTCAGAACATTGTTTGGTAGGAACATAGGCACGCCAGGACGCTTCGCCACTGCTTGAGATCTGGAGTGGCCTCCGGTGAAGGCTGCACTGGAGGCAGGCGCGCTGGGCCAAAACCTGGCCCTGCCTCCGCTGGCGCGCCGGTGGCGCGTTGCCCTGGATTGATCAAGTAAGCCAACGGGGGCCGCCGTGGCAAGGCGAGGAGTCGGCCAGGGGTCCCTTTGTTGAGCAGGGACCGACCGTCCCGGCATTCTATGGTCCTACCACGAAATGTTCTTAGAACCCAGAAATGTTCTAAGAACAAAACCGTGTTCTTAGAACATAAACCCGATGTGGTAAAACAACGACAGACTCCGCCAGAAATGTTCTAAGAACATTTCGTGGTAACCACAAAAGGTTTTTAGAACACCGTTTGGTAGGGCTATAGGCGAGCCAGGACGCTTCGCCACTGCTTCACTTTTGGCTTTCTTCGCCACTCGCCGGCCAGGGGTCGGCGAGTGTCCTCAGGTCCCTTGGGCCTCACGGTCTCCAATCTTGCAAATCTCGCTTGAGGGTTCCTGAGCGAAGCGGCAGTCTTCGGAGACGTGGGTTGCGCAGCGGCGCGGTCTTCAGGGTGGCCGGCGGGACGCGCCGAAGCTCCAAGATAGAGTTCCTTTGAACAAAAAACAAAACCAAACCGTAAGTTCAGCACGCCAAGCACCCCCGCGGTAAGACCGCAGGTGGCTACGGATATAATGGCTTTCGGCCTATCCCGCCACGTGCCCGGTCACCAGCCGTTTGGATGCCTGTGAGCATCTATTGGGAGGTCTGTTGGAGGTGGTTTGGGGGGTGACGGGGCCTATTGGGGGCTTCTTTTGGGTCTGAGTTTGAGCCGTCTTGGACGCTCTGAAAGCCAAACAGGCGGCAATGTGAAACCATACGCAAACCAATCAATTTTGACGGTTTTGGCCCCATGGGCCCCCCTCTGGGGCCTCCAAGACGGCCCAGGAGGCGCGCAAGAGGGCTCCAGGAAGATCCTCGGGGCCGTCTAGGGCGATTTCGCGCATGCATGCCCCGAACAGCGCGCTTGGCTTCTGCAAAAGCCACGCGAGGAAACCCCAGGAGCGCGCGGGAGCGCGCAGGCGCACTCCGGAGCTCCGGGCCCTGGACATCCTCAACACATCGCGATCTTGGGGATACTAGCCCAAGACGCCTAATGATAAGAATGAATGTTCCGCCCAATATGGCCTCACGAGGCCTCCAAGAGGTCCTCCAGGAAGGCCCGAAGAGGCCAACATCATTGATTTGCCTGGGTTTTTGAAGGATTTTGGCATTTGCCTCTTTTCGGCCTTCCGACGGCCCGAGAGCCCCCAAAGATCGCCCCAAGATCTTCCAAGAGGCTTCCAGGATGGCCCCAGAACGGCCCAAGAGGCCCTAAAGACGGTCCCAAGAGGGCCCTGAGAGGGCCCAAGAAGCCTCCAAGACGCCCACGATGGCATCCAAGGCGGCCCAGGAGCGCCCCAAGAGGGCCCCAAGTCGGCCCAGAGAGGCCCGCAAGACGGCTTTCGACGGCCTCAGAGGGGCCAGGACTGCCCTAAGACGCCCCCAAAACCTACCGAGAAGCCCCCGAAGGCCCCCAAGAGGCCCAAGGAGGCCCCCAATATGCATCCAAAAGGCCTCCAGGAAGCTCTCAGCAGGCCCCAAGAGTGCCCCCAGAGGCTCCCAATATGCCCCCTCCTCCTCGTCCTCGTCCTCGTCCTCCTCCTCCTCCTCCTCCTTTTCCTGATCTTCCTCGCCATCCTCCCCCAAGTGGTCCCCGAAGGGTTTCCACAACGGTTGGGGGAACTTATGGTCCGATAGCTTGGCAGAGCTCTTGCCACGACGCTCGGCCACATGGGCTATTCCAAAAGGCAAGGGGCGGCGGTGATTCGCCGTAGGCGTCTTGGATCCGCCGCCCGCTGTTGGCTTGTCACAAGGGTGCAAAACGTTCCAATGTTCCCAATTGGGCTTCGGCCCAACCCGCCGTCCATCCGGAAAGCCGCGCAAACTTCGGTCTCCATTGACCTCCTTCCCCGAAGATCGCCCCGTAAAGACCCGTAGACTTCCCAGTTCATCGGTCTTCCCGCTCCAGATGGCCAAGATGGCGTCCAAGATGGCCAAGCTTGTCTCCAAGACGGCTACGATGGCCCCAAGAGAACCCACTATGGCCTCAAGATGTCTCCAAGACGGCCCAATATGCATCCAGGATGGCCCAACGTAGCCCTACAAAAACCCAAGACAGCCTGAGAGGCCTCCGATCTAGGAACGCTCGAAGCCATATCGCTTCGTCGTATGTTGATGATTTTTCTTCTTATTCTTATAACTACTGTTATTGTTCCTAACACGTGTTCCCCGAAACATTCCCACGATGGCTGGGATGACACATGATCCGATAGCTTGGCCGAGCTCCAACCACAACGTTCGGCCACATAGGCGCTTCCAAAACGCATGGGCCGGTGTTGATTCGCCATAAGCGTCTTCGCTATCGTGTACATACATAGCCACATAAGGAAAATGCTCACGTATTGTACACACAACTACAATTACGTTTACTTGCTAATATGTGCACGTTTTCGAGTTGCAGGGGCCGGATGGTCCCCCAACAGAGAGCGCACGCCCAATCTGATGCCTGGCTGGTCCACCTACGAGCGCGGCCAAGATTTCGGCACCTGGAGCGAGCGCGGCGCGCGTTAACCGCAATCGACGTGGCCCAGCCATCGACGCATCACTTCTTGCTGCCTTTGTCCTTCTTCGGACTGAATTCCTGTCGCAACGTCTTGCCATCGGCCTCGCACCAGACCGAGCTGTCGAGCGCCTCGCGGATCGCAGGGTTGCTGGCGAAAATCGCCTGGAGGTGCTCCGCTGTCTCCAGCGGGCCCGGGAAGTGCAGGAGGCGCAAGCAGACCTCGAGCAGCACCATCACGCGCGTCCGCAGCGGCCCGGGCACGTGCAGCACGCCCTTGGCGCGGGATCGGGCGGCACCGCATCGGGAAATCGGATCGAATCGAAGCGTGCGTCGAATCCTGCTGGATCGGCCGCGACAAATCAACAAATATTCAAACATGCTAAACACTTGTCGAAACATCGTCCCCAGACTATGCTTTGGTCTATCTCTGACTATTCCTCCTGTAGAGGAACATCCCCGACGTAAGGCTGGCCGGATTCGACATCGAGGCGGACCGATCGATTAGAGGCCTCCTGGATGGGGTCCGAGTAGATGGGGTCGGAGGATCTCACCGTATCGCCCATACATCGACGATGCATCGCTGATGCATCGGCGATGCATCGGCCATGCACTGGCGACGTCAGCGATGCATCGGCGACGTCGGCGTGGAGAAAGACGGGCCCCATATCGAGCCGCATCGCCGATGCATCGCCGATGTATCGGCGATGCGGCGCGATCCTCCGACCCTATCCACTCCGACCCCATCTAGGAGGCCTAGATCGATTAGAGGCCTCCTGGATGGGGTCCGAGTAGATGGGGTCGGAGGTTACCGCCGGGACCCTCGTAGAGCTCTCAGCACGCGAAGTTGTGCTCAGATCACGAGGACAGGGCTTCCTTCGATATCAGCTGAACAACTCGCAGAAAGTATTTTCTCCTCCTCCTCCTCCTCCTCCTCCGCCTGCTCCTCCTCCTCCTCCCCCTCCTCCTCCGCCCTCCTCCTCCTCCTCCTCCTCCTCCTCCTCCTCCTCTTTCGAGGCCTAGACCGGTGCCTTGGCGTCCAGGATGCTGCCCTTCACCGCCGGGCGGCGCAGCTCCAGAGCCCGCGCGCACGCCTCCGCCTCCGCGTGTCGGCCGGGCGCGGCCCTGCGCAGCATCTGGAGGACCACGGAGCGCCTCGCCGCGGAGACGCCGTCCTTGGAGGTCAAACAGTCCCCCCCCCCCTTATCATAACCCAACACGCGATAATAAACATCCCCCCCCCTAACAATCCCCTCCCCCAAAAAAGTCCCCAAATAATCCCCCCAAAATATAATCCCCCCCCCCCACAAAAATCCCCATAAGAATCCCCCCCTCTAAGAATCCCCATGAAGGGGCCCCAGGACACACAAATGAATACACACCAATAAGAAGATTCCCCACATTTTCCCATATTTTCTGGGTCTCTGTCTTCCCCCTCACGTCCCCTATTTTCCCTTATTTTCTGGGGAATCGAGGATCACTTGTGTGTGCTTTTTCCTCTGCATAATCCCCCCCCATGATAACCACGCCGACACGCGAAGTCGTTTAGCAAAAGTGCCCAAAGAAGGAATCGAACAAGGCGGGGCTGTTTCGTAGACGCCCAGGGCCGTTTACTACACGCCAATTGTCCGGTCCGGGTGTTTTTTCTCCCTAGAGTCCTGCGAGCCCTTGTAGCGCGGCATCTGGAGAGCCCGCCAGACGTGGAGGTGCATGCAGAGAGACTCTGGACTCACCCCGGCTGCCTGTTGGGAGGGGGTGGAGAGAGGCCTTAAAAGATCCTGGCGGCGCAATCTTGTCCACAGCGGGTGCTTTCGACCAGCTTCGGGCCTGGGGACCCTCCCAGATCGATCTGGCACGAGGACTAGCGCCAGAAGATAGAGCCCGGGGCTCCGGTGGTCTGGCCAGACGTGGAGGTGCAATTGGGGGACAAACAATGACGCAAACATAAACTCTTGGAGGTCAGCGCGAACTTTTCGGATCGGCGCTGGAGCCCCCTGGCGGCGCCTCCGGCGCCGATCCAAGAAAGGCGCGCGGATCTGAGCAAATTCATGTTTATGTCATTGCTTGTTCCCCGAATGCAGAGAGACCCCGGACTCACCCCGGCTGCCCGTGGGGTCGGCAAGAAGGCACCGACCCCGCTGCTCCCCGGACCTCTCCCGGGGCGCATGCTAACAAGAACTTCCAGGCGACTCCCTGGACCTCTCCCGGGGTCTACGCTGACAAAAAATTCCAGGCCATGCCAGCCTTGGCGACGAGGGCTCTCCACACAGGATCAAAGCTTCATAAACACACGGCAGGTTAGCGTCGTGTCGACCCCGGCGTTGGTTCCTGACACCGCGGGGATCGTTCAAACTTGAACGACCGGCCCTTTCAGAAAGGCCGGATCGTTCAAGGATGGGTCGATTCTGGGCCACAGGCGGCGTTCAACATTAAACGCACGCGCTGGGGTCGCCGCCGGTCGACACGACGCGAACCTGCCGTAGGGTACCGCACAAGAAAGGCGACACAAAGGGTCCCTGGAACCACAACAGCAAGAGTGGACACGGAGAAGGGTTTGCCAGAAACGCGTTCCACACAGTTTCGGTGCGCCACCCTTGCAGACGTGCTGCAGCGGATTTTTGCTTGGATTTCTGCCCATGCAAAACCCCGAAACGACAAGCAAAACACGTAGTTAATTTCGCGTGGATTTTTTATTAGTCTTCATCCCTGGCCAATCCGCGCGAAATTCACCTCGAAATCCGGAGCGAAATTCTCCAGGACACTCCGGGCCCATACCATCGCTTCCCGAGCGAAATCCGCTCTGCGATGCGGGCGCCATGAACAGTTAGGCTCACAGGAGGGAGGTGTCGGCGGCGACGATAGGGGCGAATAGCCCAGGGGTGGGCATTACACGTACTCGCCCGGGAGCCTTGTCGAAGACATAGATTGTCGGCACCCCTGGATACGTGTATTGCTCTTTCGCCCCTATCGTCGCCTCTGAAGGTGGAGGGAGGCGGGAAGGCCGCCGAAGCCTGCAGCCGGCGAGGCCGCCGCTGCTGCGAACCTGCCGTAAACTTTTGGAGGTCCGCGGGGCTCCTGGAGGAGGCTCAGGGCGGAGAGGGCGCAGAGGCGAGCGAGAGGTCGGCGGCCAGAGGCTTGAGGGCGGTGGAAGCAGGAGGAGGAAGAGGAGGAGGAGGGGGAGGGGGAGGAGGAGGGGGAGGAGGAGGGGGAGAAGGAGGGGGAGGAGGAGGAGGAGGAGGAGGGGGAGGAGGAGGAGGAGGAGAGGAGGTGGGAGGTAGGCGGTGGAGGGGTCAGAAGAAGGAGGCCAAGGAAGGGGGAAAAAAGAGCAACGGGAGCTGGTTGTCGAGGGAAAGCGATCCTCGTAGGCACAAAGGCTGCATGACAGAAGCTTCTGGCAGTTCTTCTGGCAGGCCGCCTGGATTTCTGGATCCGCCCTGGGCCGCTCCAGATGGCTGAGGTGGAGCTTCCTGCGGCTCCGCAGAGGGCTCGACAAAGGACCGCTTTCTCGTCGCAACGCTCCCCTCTACCGCTGCCCGGCTTCCGCTTTCCGCTTCGCTTCCGCTTCCGATTCCCTCCTCTCCCTTCACCTGCCTTTCTCCGCCTCCTCTATCCTCCTCCTCCTCCATGTCAGCCTCCTGTTGTCTCTGCTCCTCTCCTCATCCCTCCCTCCTCCTACTCATCATCCTCCTCCCTTGTCCTCCTCCTCCCTCCCGTCTCCTCCTCCCCTCCTCCTCTCCTCCTCCGCTTCCTCCTCCTCCTCCTCCTCCTCCTCCTCCTCCTCCTCCTCCTCGGGAGAAGCAGAACTCCTCCTGCTCCACCCCCTTTTGCTCCCTCCGTGCCCGCAGACCGCAGGCGCCCCACCCCCAGCCGGTCCGGCGCCCCCTGGGCCACCCGCCCCTGGCGCGCGGAGCGCGCCAGGGGCGGGAGGCGCTGCCAGGCGGGCCGAGCGCTGGAGGAGGAGGAGGAGGAGGAGGAGGAGGAGGAGGAGGAGGAGGAGGAGGAGGAGGAGGAGGAGGAGGAGGGGGAGGGGGAGGAGGAGGGAGGAGGAGGAGGAGGAGGAGGGGAGGAGGAGGAGGAGGAGGGGGAGGCTTCTCACAGTGCTCAGCGTTCCGATCCGAGCCTGCGGTAGGAGCTCGACCACAGGAAGCCTTCCACGAGCGGGCCAACCCTGAGACCCCAGGGTGTCCATGGACGTCTGGTGCGGGAGCCTCCCGCGATCCGTCGCAGAAGCAGCGAGACCCAAGAAACCCACGGCACCCTGGAGGCAAACACGGTGTTCCCCAGCACGGGTTTCCATTGTGTGCTGCTTCGTTTTTTCCCATGCTCCGATCCGACCCGCAGGCCCGAATCGAACACACAAGCCGTGTGCTCATGGTGCAGAGTGTTGGCCCCTCGGCCCCACGACGAACAACAACATCCCTAGAGGAACCAATACGGCATCAACATCCGCACGGATTCCCTGGAACCGCGCTGGGCCCCCCTCCCTGGCACGCGGCACGCGCCAGGGGCCGCGCCGGGGCCGCCATTCGGGGGGGCCGAGCGCAGACCCAAGAGACCTACGCACGACGCCGAGCACTTCTGCTCCTGCCGCCTGGCGTCCTTCGACTCCAGGACTGGGGGGAACTAGAATCAGGTCGGGCAGGCGGACTTTGGGCGAACAGTAAAAACAAGTAGCAAACAATACTTCCAGATAGTCAAACAATGCGAAGAAAATCGTCCCGTGGCATTTTTTTTGGCTATTGTTGAACGTTCCTCCTGTAGAGGGACAGGCCCGACTTGAAACTAAAAGGCACCGATGCCACTACTCCCCGGACCTCTCCTGGGGTGCGCTCTGACCAGAACTTCGAGGCGAGTCTGCAGCAGTGGCGACGAGGGCCTCCCAGGAGGCCCAAACGTCAAAATCCTGTTGTGACGACGTCGGCGTCGGTTCTTGACACCGCGGGGACAGTTCAACCTTGAACGACCGGCCGTCTCCGAAACGTCAGATAGATCGTTCCACATCGACCCACTCTGGGCCGCCGCTGGCGTTCAACGTCGAGCGCGTCGACCCGACACGAACCTGCCGTACTTTTGTTCGGAATGACCCTGGGCAAGAGTGACCTTGAGTGTGCGGCCAAGGGGGGGCCGTGTGGGGGGCGTGCAAGCCGCTGCTACCGCCTCGCGTTCAGCGATCGGGGGGCCCCATTGGGCCCGCACCATGAGGGCACTCCAGAGCAAGGTCCATCGGACACGCACCAAAGGGGCACTCCAGAGAAAGGTCACCCTTGCGTGCAGTCGACTTTTTCCCAACCCTCATTGGTTGGGTATTCGTGTTGACTAAAGCACCGCGGTCGCGTCTCACCGCACGGATCTGCGCGAGACCTCCCCGTCCCTGCGGGGCTGCGATCTGCGAAACCGTCGCCACTTTCGAAGGCTGCTGGTGGGTCCAGCGGAGTGAGGCACCGCACGGATCTGAGCGAGACCTCCCCGTCCCGGGGGCTGCGATCTGCGAAACTGTCTGTCGCCACTTTCGAGGGCTGCTGGTTGGGCTCGCCACTTTCGAAGCTGCTGGTGGGTCCAGCGGAGTGAGGCACTGCGCAGACCTGAGCGGGACCTCGCCGTCCCTGGGGGGCCATGTCATGTTGTTGCTGCCACGCCTACGTTTCAAGGCCCTTGCCCACTGTCTCATTTCGGACCTTGCGTCTTCCTTAGTGACTCAGGGGTTCTCTAAGTTACTCATCGTGTTTCCCTTGGACCTGCGAACCTTCCGAATGCCGCTCGCGGAAGTATATGCGTCCATGTCACGTGGCCGCCTTCTCGTCAAATCTCCCAAGCTACTCCTGCCCCGCATTGCGCAGGGATTTGGGTACGTCGCCAGAGTAATTGACCTGGGGATAATAGAACCCTATCCCTGGCTTCGTGGGGTTTTCGAGTGGGCAAGCAATGTTGGGCCCAACCCTGGGATGTACGATGGGGAAGCGTCCATCCTCGATAGGGGTGTGCGTCCGAAGAGTCCCCTTGGAGTATACTGTATCCCAAGACTTCCACCCTTTTCCGAGCGGCCAAATGTTTCGGGCGGAGCTCGGGGATTGTGGGGAAACCAGAAGGTACCGATACCGGTATTCCCTGGCCCTCTCCCGGGGTGCGCTCTGACCAGAATCTCGAGGCGAATCCAGCGGTGGTGACGAGGGCCGCCCAGGAGGCCCAGATAGGGGGAAGCGAACGAAGGGTAGAGGTGTGGGTACCTGGTCCTCCGCGGAGACCGGGGGAGACAAACATCGCCTGCGGCCTTTCCCTTTGGACGCCCGAAATGGGTACGGAAAGAATGTGTACAGCGCCCAACAACCAATGTTGTGCCAAACCAGCAGCGGCCGCGGTTGGGCAGGCGGCCTTCTGTCTCGAATGGACACAGGCCGCGGCGGCGCGGACAGCGAATCTGGTTCAAAATGAACAGGAACTGCTGTTGGTCTTTGTACCCATTCTTTCCATACCCGTCTCGGTCGTCCCGATTCCCGTCGTGATTTTTGTTATGACTCGAAGGGGTCTGGGAGCGACGCCCGTCGACCCACGACCGGCGGCCGACGTCCTGCGCCTCCAGGCTCGAGGAGGGGGAGGAGGAGGAGGAGGAGGAGGAGGAGGAGGAGGAGGAGGAGGAGGAGGAGGAGGAAGGAGGAGGAGGAGGAGGAGGAGGAGGAGGAGGAGGAGGGAGGAGGAGGAGGAGGAGGAGGAGGAGGAGGAGGAGGGAGGAGGAGGAGGCAGGAGGAGGAGGAGAAGGAGGAGGAGGAGGAGGAGAGTTTCCCTCCGCGGAGACCGGGGGAGACAAAAATCGCCTGCGGCCTTTCCCTCCCCGGAGCCTTCGCGAAGCCCAGGTCGAGCCGGTCCGGGGCGGCGGGCGCGGCCTCCAGCGCCTGCAGCGAGTCCAGGACCGAGGCCCCGGCCTCGCGCGTGGGCCTGTTCACGGCCATGCCTGGAGGGACAGGGGGAGGAGGAGGAGGAGGAGGAGGAGGAGGAGGAGGAGGAGGCAGGAGGAGGAGGCAGGAGACGAGAGGAGGAGGGGAGGAGGAGGAGGAGACGAGGAGGAGGAATAGGAGGGAGAGGAGGAGGAGGGGGAGGAGGAGGAGGGGAGGAGGGAGGAGGAGGAGGAGGAGGAGGGCGGACGAGGAGGAGGAGGAGGAGGAGGAGGGGGAGGGGGAGGAGGAGGAGGCCTTTGTCTGACCTCACACTGAATCTCGCACAGGGAAGCGAATCCTGGTGTATACGGGATCCTGGTGTATACATTCTTCTTTGTTTTGTCCAGGAGAAAGGGGGAACAAATATACACACCACGCCACCCCGACGTCGTCCCCGACCGTCAAAAAAGTACTGGGATTGAGCAGCCGCCCGCCACTGGTAATGTATGTGCTCCAGTTTCCGAAGGAAGAACCGCCCATGTTCAGGTAATGTATGTGCTCCAGTTTCCGAAGGAAGAACCGCCCATGTTCAGGATTGGGATGACAGTCGGGCCGAGGCGCACAAGATCGAGGTTGGTTCGGGGAGGGTGCCCCAGTGTTCTTCGTGCTTGCTGGATGTTCTCGTGGGTCCTTGGGAGGGTACCATTATATGTTCTGTTGGTTCTGGCCGACGGAGAGTCCTTCATTTCTTAAGGGGAAAGCCGCCCATGACCAAGACTGGACGTACCCGCCGGTCGGAAGAAGTGGGTAGAAGCATGAAGTAGGAAGGGGTTGGAAGTGGGTTGGGCTTCCGCCCGGCCCCTGAAGAAGGGGGAAAGTGGAAAACCAGTCCGTCCGCGAAGTAGGAAGGCGGCGAAAGTAGATTGGGATCTGGGAGCCCCAGAATACCTAGGCGGAGTAGGAACCCCTAGTAGGGGGGGGGGGCAAAGGGGAGGCAGAGGAGGAGGGGAGGAGGAGGAGGGAGGAGGAGCGAGGAGGAGGAGGAGGAGGAGGAGGAGGAGGAGGAGGAGGAGGAGGAGGAGGAGGAGGAGGAGGAGGAGGAGGAGGGAGGCGGAGGGGGAGGAGGAGGAGGGATCTGGGAACCCCAGAATACCTAGTCTCAACGACCAGGCTTGTGCGTGTCCGACCTTGGACCCGCTGTTGCCCATCGCGCCCGGGCCATCGTCGGCGGTCTTCGGGCGGTCTTCGGCGGCCGCCGGCGGTCCTCCGACGAACTTCTGGCGGTCTTCGACAGTTGTCCTGCGGTCTTTGGCGGTTTCAAGCGGCCTTCGGCGCGAAAAGCTGGATGGTAAAATGCTTAGCAGTGGGTCTATGATTGGACACCATAACAAGAAGAACGCACCATGGCACAAGCATAGACTTGTGGAGGTCCAAGCAAATTCCTTGGATCGGCGCTGGACCCCTCTCCCTGGCTCGCTGAGCGCGCCAGCGGCGACGCTGGAAGTGCCGCCAGGGGCCCCAGCTCCTAACAAGCGAGCACCCCGCTGAAGTCACCCCAGACGTCGTCGAACAGATGCGCCGGAAGCACCCGCCCAGCCGCCAAGCAGTGGACCTTGCCAGCCTCCCAGCTGTCCACGCGGCTGGCGCCCTACAGGTCCACAAAGGTTCCCCGCGCTGGCACCCTGGGCCGACTGGCGCTACTCCCGCCCGTCGGCTCTCTTCCTGGGCAAGAAGACCGTCGACTCCGAAAGCGGGGTGCAGCAGGGGGACCCCCTAGGGCCTTTGCTGTTTTCTCTTGCCCTCCAGCGCGCCGCCGAGGCCGCCCTGCGCGCGCCGCGCGATGACGCCGACGGCGTCGTCGACCTGAGCTTCTTCTACATGGACGATGGTTGCCTCGCGGGCGACGCGCCGGCCGTCGCTCGCCTCCTCCGCCTGCTCGTGGCCGAGCTCGCCGCGGTGGGCCTCCAGCTGAGCACCGGCCAGGGCAAGTGCGAGGTTGTCCCTACTGGCGGAGGCGCCTCCGACGTGTCTCTGAACGGCTTCCCAGAGGGGTTCCGCCTCCGCACCGATCGCAGCTTTGAGCTGCTCGGCGCGCCAATAGGGGGCGCTGACTTTTGCGCGGGGCACACGAGGCAGCGGGTCGCTGACGCCGCCGCTCTGCTTGAGGCTCTGGGGGCGCTCGAAAACGCGCAGGTCGCGCTGCACCTCCTGCGGCAGTGCGCTTCTTTTTGCAAGCTGGGCTACTCCGCGCGCGTGGTGCCGCCCACCGCGCACACCGCCTCCTTGGTGGCCATGTGCGACGCTGTCCGGGCTTGCCTGGAGCAACTAAGCGGCTGCTCTCCCTCCGACGCCTCCTGGCAGCAGGCTCAGCTCAGGCTCGACAGTGGAGGGCTCGGCCTGCGCTCCGCCGCACAGCACGCCGCCGCCGCCTACGTTGCTTCCCGAGCGAAAAGCACAGACCTCTGCAGGCGGCTCTACCCCAGCTACTCCAACAGCGCTGACCACGACGGAGGTAGCCTGGCGGCGGCGGCGCAGGCCCACAACGCAGTCGTGCGGGACGCCGACGGGGTGGTGTTCGACCACGCCCAGCACAGCAACTAGAAAACCCTCTCCGACGCGGTGGACAGCGCCACGCTCGAAGGGCGCCTGGCGGGCGCCACCCTGGCCGGCAAGGCGCACCTCTCCCTGGTGCAGGCCCCTGGCGCCGCCGCGTGGCTCCAGGCGCCGCCCTGCGAGGCCACCGGAACCGCCTTCCCGCACGGTCTCATGCAGGTCGGCCTGCAGAGGCGGCTGCGAGTCCAGCTCTTGCAGGAGGAGTGCTTTTGCCCAGCCTATGGCGAGGTGATGGATGTCTACTGCGACCACGCCTTGGTCTGCGCCTGCCGCGGCGACAGGACCAAGCGCCACAACGCCCTGCGCAACCAGGCCTTCTTCGACGCCCTGGCCGCTGGTCACGCCGGGGCTGAGTTGGAGCGCCCAGGGCTGCTACCCACGCGCCCCGCCGGGGAGGCCACCCCCGGGGGCGAGCAGGGCGGATCCCAGGTGGACGACAACGGCCGCCGCCCCGCCGACGTCTACCTACCGAGGTGGCGCAACGGCACGGCGGCCGCTTGGGATTTTGCCGCCACGTCCGGGTTGCGCGCCGATCTCCTCGCCGCGTCGGCCGCGTCGTCCAGCGCGCCGGCAGAACGATACGAGGAGTTCAAGAGGCAGCACCAGGACACCGCGCGGCTGTGCGCGGAGCAGGGCTTCACCTTCATCCCCATGGCGGTGGAGGCCCATGGCGGCGGGTGGGGCCGCGAGGCGCGCAGGGCCTTCGGGGTCCTGGCCAAGCGGGTGGCTGACGCCACGGGGGAAGACGCCGCTTTGGTAGCGGACCAACACGCCCAGCGACTCTCCGTCTCCCTGCACAGGGAGAACGCGCGGGCGGTGTTGCGGCGCCTCCAGACACAGTCTGGAGGGGCGGGAGTGGTCGTGGCCCGCCTGGCCGCGGCCACGGCGGCCTCCACGGCGGACGCCGTGTGAGCGCCGCCGGGCGCTGCTTAACGCCCCCTGCCCACTCCCCCCGCCCTGGCTGGGCAGCACGGGCGCCTCCCCCATGTCCCTTCTCGCGGATGGCGTGCCGGCGCCCCCCCGCACTGCCGGCCGTCCCATCCTCGGCGGGGCGGTGGGTGATACCGCAGAGGTTCCCTCCCCACCAAGCCGCAGCGTGCTGGGTTCGGTCAGGCCACCCCCCCCGACGCCCTTCCCGACGCCTTTCCCGACGCCCACGGCCGACCCCGCCGACGCCCTTCTCGACGCCCTTACGCCCACGACCCCCCCCCCCGACGCCCTTCCAAACGCCCACACCGGCCCCCCTGTCGCCGCCGTAGTGTCCGTAGGTTCGTCGCGGGTGGCCGTTCCCTCCTGGCCCCTGGCCCGGCCCTGCTGCTGCTGCTGCTGCTGCTGCTGTTGCTGCGGATGCTGCTGCTGCTGCTGCTGCTTCTGCTGCTGCTGCTCCTCCTCCTCCTCCTCCTCCTCCTCCTCTTCCTGCCCCCTGCTTCCCTTCCGCTTCTGCTCGTTGCTTCCCTCCCTTTCCTTTCCTCCTGCTTCCTGCCTGCTGTTTCCGCCTGGCCCGTTTTCTGCCTGCCCGCCCGCCCCGCCGGCCCTGGCCTCCCGCCTGGGCGCTCGTCGTCGTCTGCCTGCTTCTCCCCTCTTCGCCCCCTTCCGCTGGACCGCGCTGCCTGCCCGGAACCACGAGGCGGGCTGCTGTCCCCAGCCACATTGGCCTGTAGGTTCCTGCCGCGCGGACTCACTAAGATCTTGCTGGCGCTTGACGCTTGGGCGCTTGTCGGACGATCCGCAGAAATCTGCAAGAACCTAATGGCCTCTGGGAGAATTCGGGAGAGTCTGGACGCATCTGGAAGAATCTGGGACAATTCGGCAGAACCTGGAAGAATTCATCATCATCACAACCACCATCATCATCATCATCATCATCATCATCATCATCATCATCATCATCATCATCATCCCCCCCCTCCTACTCCTCGCCTCTTCCTCCTCCTCCTACCCTTCCTCCTCCTCCTCCTACTCTCCTCCTCCTCCTCCTCCTCCCCCTCATCCTTCTCCTTCCTCCTCCTTCTTCCTCCTCCTCCTCCTCCTCATCTCCTCCTCCTCATCTCCTCCTCCTCCTTTCCTCCTCCTCCTTTTTCCCTCCTTCTCCTCTTCCTCCTCCTCCTCCCCGGCCCCTCCTCCTTTGCTCCCTCCTCCTCCTCCCTTCTCCTCTTCCCGGCCTCCTTATCCTCCTCCTTCCCTCCATCCTCCCCCTCGATATCCTCCTCCTCCTCCTCCTCGCCCTCCTCCTCCTCCTCCTCCTCCTCTTCTTCCTCCTCCTCCACCCCCAGAGATGAAGAATAAGAGTACGACGAAGAGCACGGGTAATACAAATAACAATAATACCAACACGAATGAGAAACTGATCAAAAAAAAAACAAAATAAACACTTGAAATAAACAGATAACGACACATACGGAAAACTGGGACCTGATCCGAACCTGCAAATGAAAGGGGATAAGGGTGGTAAGAACAAGGGTCCCACGTATAATAAAACTGAACACATGACTATGAATACGGCTGGAACCTCAAAACAACACGAATAAAATACACTGGACTCATAAGAGCAATGACAATGACAATAACAATCCGAATAACAATTCGAAGACAAAATAATACCAATCGTAATACTACTAAGAAAACTATTAATAATAATAATAATGATGATAATAATAATAATACTAATACTAATAATCAAAAAACCACTCGTAATACTACCCGACGCACTCCCTCCCCTTCCCCCTCCCCCTCCCCCTCCTCCTCGTCCTCCTCCTCTTCCTCCTCCTATTCTTCTTTTTCTGTCTTCTTCTTCTCCTGATTCACAATATTATGATTATGTCTCTGATTATTATTAATCTTCTTCAGCTTATTATTCTTCTCTCCTCCTCCTCCTCCTCCCTCCCCTTCTCCTCTTCATCCTCCTCGTTCCTCATCTCCTCCTCCTCCGCCTCCTCTTCCTCCTCCTCCTCCTCTTCTTCCCTCCCTCCCACCTCTTTCCTCCTCTCCCCTCCCTCCTTCCTCCTCCTCATCCTATACTTCCTCCCACTCATCCTCCTCGTCCTCCTGCTTTTCCTCCTCCTCCTCCTCCTCTCTCCTCGTTCTCTCATCCCCTTTTCCTCCTCCATCCTCCTCCTCCTCCTACTCCTCCTCCTCCTCCTCTCCTCCTTCCCCTCCTCCTCCTCCTCCCCCTCCTCTTTCACCTCCTCCCCCTCCTCCTCCTCCTCTTCCTCCGCCACTTCCTCCTCCTCCTCCTCGTCCTCCTCCTCCCCCTCTTCCACCTCCTCCTCCTCCTCCTCATTTTCCTCCTCATTTTCCTCCTCCTCCGCCTCCTCCTCCTCTGGCCACGCAGGAAACCGAGGCCACAATTGAGATGTATCATGACGTCCGGATGCGCGGCCCCCACCAGGAGAGGAAGCGAAAGGCGCAGAAAGAATTGCCTGGCGGGAGGAGGGACAAACTGAGCGCGTGCGCGCCACAGCTGACGTCCGACCACTCCCCCCTTTCCCACGGAACCGCGTTATGTCTTAAACAACGGGCCGAAGGTCCAATCGGACCGGCATGCGCCGATGGCATCTGCACCGCTGGCGTCGCCGCCCAGTGCCCGAAGGGTAAACAAGCCAGACGGAACCAAAACGCACACAGGTCGGGCGGGAAGGGCCGGGCGGCCGGCTGTCCGGCTCCCCGCGCGGCCTCGCCGCCGGGCGCCCCGAGGGCACCTCCCAGACCGCTGGGGCGCCTCGGCGCACCTTGCTCCACGCACCCACCCCATGTAGGAAGGCACCAACCATACACCAACACCGATCCTGGCCAGGATCACCCTGGGCCCAGGATCGGTGTATACGCCCTCCTGCCTTGCGCAAGATGGCATATACACCGATCCTGGGCCCAGGGTGATCCTGGGCCAGGATCGGTGTTGGTGTATAGTTGGTGCCCTCCGACCATGGCACCTCGCTCGCGCTGCAGAGGCGCACCCATGAGGCGCCCAACGCGTCAGACGCCAAGGAGATGCCAAAGACGGACCTCCAGCAGTTGGAGTGTTGCTGTATATCGTTGCTCCGTGTCCCGAAAACCTGAACGCGGAAACGTCGGTACCGACCTTGGCCATCGTTCACCCAGGGCGTTGCCATGGTCATCGTGTTTCGGCGGGTGGGCAGACCCCAGTTTAGCGGCTGAACTGGGTTCAACTCTGAACTTTAGCCCTTGACTTGCAGATGGCACTCTGCGTGGGCACGGCACCGCGTTCCAGGTGGACCCGGGCGGACTAGATAGCCGACGCCCGAAGACGAGCGAATGCATCCGGCGAAGCGCAAGTCGATTAGCGACACCGACGGTGGTCTGCACCCGCACACCCACATTCTGATGCCGAGTGTTATGTTGCTCACATCGCACTTAAGGATCACATCCCAGAAATAAGTTCGAGCATCTGGAAAAGCGTCGAAGGCGTGTCGAAGGAGTGTCAGTATCGGACGAGTGTCTCCCAGGTCCCGACACGTGAACACCCTCGAATTTCGGAAGTTTTTGTCTGGTGCTCGAAATTAGAGGCCTCCTTGATGGGGTCCGAGTGGGTGGGGGCGATGGATCTCGCCGCATCGGCGATGCATCGACCATGCACTGGCGAGGACGGCGATGCATCGGGGACGTCGGTGTGGGGAAAAGTGGGCCCCACATCGGCGATGCATCGCCGATGCCGTACAATCCTCCGACCCCATCTGCTCCGACCCCATCTGGGAGGCCTCGAGAAGTTCCTTCTGGCGATCAAGGCTACAGTATCGGCGGTGGACAAGCCTCCCTTTAGTAAACCTCCCCTCGGTGAGAACGGCCTGGGACCGAAACCGACGGACCTGGACCCGCCAAAATGACGGCCGCGACGCCCTCTCGCGAACCGAAAACGGCCAATTCCTTAACCGACGCGTCAGGGTAGGAGGCCTGTCAACCTCCGGCGAAGGCTTCGAGCCCCGAGCCCGAAGCTTCCCCCTTCTCACTGGCCCCCCTCGCTCGCCGCCGCCCTGCCCGCGGGGGGTCCAGCTGCGACGCGGGCCAGGGCCGTGCCCCATAATCAGACTTGCGGATGCCGCGACAGTGGACACCCTGACAGTCCTGTCTCATAGAACCTAACATGTGTCTAAACTGTCGCAAAACGCGCTCGACGTGTCAGGGTAGGAGGTCCGTCCACCCCCCAGTCTCCCAGGGAGGGCCCCGGCGCCTGCGGAGCACCCCTCCTGAGGCCCAGAGGGCCCCAAACCCTGGGCCAGGGCCACCCGTGGCAACGCCCGGCCCCCTTCCAGTCTGGGCTCGCAGGAAGAGCGCGGCCTTACTCCAGGTCGACGGGCAGAAGGAGGAGGAGGAGGAGGAGGAGGAGGAGGAGGAGGAGGAGGAGGAGGGGAGGAGGAGGAGGAGGAGGAGAGGAGGAGAGGAGGAGGAGGAGGAGGAGGGAGGAGGAGGGGAGGAAGGGAGGAGAGGAGAGGAGGAGGAGGAGGAGGAGGAGGAGGAAGGGAAGGAGGAGGAGGAGGTCTGTCCACCCCCGAGAGTAGGCTGGAACATCACAAGCCGAGTGCGCCGGTGCGGATTTCCTGGATCGCCCTGCCTGCGAGGGCGCCCCATCGACCGCCAGTGGTCTCGCGACTCGCCCGGCCGGCCAGCCTCCGCTCAAGACCTGTTCCTGGGCACCTTCCCAGGTGCGCGGAGGAGGGAGGTGGGAGGAGGGAGGAGGGAGGAGGAGGAGGAGGAGGGAGGAGGGAGGAGGGAGGAGGGAGGAGGAAGGAGGGAGGAGGAGGAGGAGGAGGGAGGAGGGAGAGGGAGGATGGAGGAGGAGGGAGGAGGAGGGAGGAGGAGGAGGAAGGAGGAGGAGGAGGAGGAGGAAGGAGGAGGAGGAGGAGGAGGAGGAGGAGGAGGAGAAGGGAGGAGGGAGGAGGGAGGAGGGAGGAGGGGGAGGAGGATGAGGAGGAGGATGAAGGGAAGGGGGAGGAGGAGGAAGGGAAGGGGGAGGGGGAGGAGGAGGAGGAGGAGGAGGAGGAGGAGGAGGAGGAGGAGGAGGAGGAGGAGGAGGACGGGTCGCCTAAGCCCTTCGGAGAAACCCTCCATCCCCGGGCTCCATCCTGACCCACTTTTCCAAGCAGATCCGGCCGTGGCGAATGGCCAGAAGCCCCCCCCGGAGGCCCAACAACAGGAGGAACACAATCGGCGCCGTCAAGACCCCGCGACATCTTCGTGATGGTCATCGTGTTTCTTCTATTGAACAGGGACCGTCTCGACATTCTTGTAGGCCTACCAGAACAAGTTCTTAGAACCCCACAGTGATCTAATAACCCCAGCAATGTTCTTCTAGGAACGTCAGGCTGCTGTTTGTTAAAGCAAGACAGTCCCAGCCAGAAATGCTCTGATAACATGTCGCGCAAACCGCAAACGGTCCTTGGAACATATCTTGGAGGGCCTATATGTGGGCAACTTCGGAAACCCTGAACCCACAAACGTTTTCATCTCTTGGGGGTGCATCTTTTATTCCCGCCGCGCCGCCGCCTTCCGCCGGCGGAGGCGGCCTCAATTTCCTTCCGCCGCCATTCCGCCGCCCTTTCGCCGCGGAAGATATCACATCTCCTTGGATCCTCGAAAGCGAGGCCCTTTTTGGAACGCCCCCGTTAGGCCAGGACGCCTCGCCCCTGCTTGACGTGTTTCTCCCCTCCGGCGCCCGCGCAGGCGCTGGCGAACTCCTCCGCGGCACGCTGGCTGCCGGCGCGGCCGCCGCCGAAGGCCGCAAAGCAGGCGCAGGCCAGCAGGCCGCCGAGCAGCTCGGGGGGCTCGCCCACGGCCCGCATCGACGAGGCCATGCTGGCGTAGAGGTCCTCGTCGAATCCGCTGGCCCCTCCGTCGAGGCAGCGCCGACGCGCGGCTCGGCGGCGCGCGGCTCGGCGGCGGGTCTGGTCTCCGTGCCGCATCGGCGCGCTCGCGCCCTGTCGCCCAATGGGGCGGCACCGGCCTCCCATTCCGGGGGGCACCTTGCCCCGATCGTGGGTCTGGCGCCCAGCGCGCCAGATCCATGGATCCCTACTCCATGTCCTCGTGTGCCCGACTTTGGGGCCACCATGTGTCGTGAGGCTCTCGTCTGCTGGTGAGCCGCCCCTCGACCTGCGCTGGAGCCCCGGATTTGGAAGGGGGCACGGGCTCACCTAGGGGGGGGGGTCCGATGCTGTTTTTGTTTTCTGCAAGGCAGACCCCAGACTTGCGCATGAAAGCTCCATGAGGCTGCCCGAATGGGCAAAGAGGTCTCCAAGACAGTGCAAAATGAACCAAGAGGTCCCGAAATGAATGCCAGAGGCCTTCCGAAATGCCGCAAGATAGCCTAGTTGAAGCTCCAAGCGGTCAAACCAACGAACAACAGGGCGGTCCCTTTTTGTTGCTTCCTTCATACATATATATATATATATACAGTACATATATACTCATCATCCCACGATGGCCCTAAGAATTTCTAACAGGGCCGTAGGACGCCCAGAGATGGCCCCTGGATCCAAAAACGATCCCGAAGGTCGCCTGGATGGCCACACGCGGCTCCCAGAGGGCGCCGGGACAGCCAAACGGCCCCCCAAATGACCCAGAAACGTTCCAAGACGACCCAGGAAGGAGACACAATAGGCCCCCGAGACGCCTCAAGAAGGCCTCCATCCAACCAGTCCTCTCCTCCTCCTCCTCCTCCACCTCCTCCTCCAGAGATTGCTGCATGAGAGTCGTACGATCGTTTCGTACGGGATGTATCCATGATAGTTGTACGTGCAGAGACATGACGTCTCCTAGAGCTGGGGCTTCGGCCCCACAAGAGTTACCCGCGCAGCAAGGCTGTTAGGGCCAGAGACTACGGACCACTGCGTAGCAAGTTCGCGGTAGCCCCTGGCCCGCTGATTCGATCGGATCAGCAAGCCAACCATACTGTGTGACTGTAGAAGGGGTGAGTTTCGAGTGATTCCGAGCGAGTGTAATGATGCGTGCACGTGCGATCCACGGCCACCCCAGTGAGGTGAGCACCCCAGCATCAACAACGTGCCTTCTGGGGTGGTACAGCCCCATAATGTCAAAGTAATGTTTGCCCCTCTAGGGGTGAGATGTGCATGAAGCGTCTGTCACTCTTCTCCCCTTCGGGCCGCTATGGAGGTAGGTTTCCGACGGTGTCGGAAACCTCCTCGGGGGTAGGATTCCGACGGTGTCGGAAACTTCTAGGACCCCTCACACTGGGGCTTTACCCCTCCGGCGTCGACCCCTAAAGCTGGGACTTCGGCCCCACATGCGTTACCCGCGCAGCAAGGCTGTTATGGCCAGGGACTACGGACCACTGCGTAGCAAGTTCGCGGTAGATCCTGGCCCGCTGATTCGACCGGATCAGCTAGCCAGCCATACAGGTAGTAACCAAACTAGTGGAATTACGATGTACAGTTATAGGGCCCTGGGCTAGCAGACCAGAGGATGTATTAATCATTTCTTGGCGCTGTGGGTGAAGCCTCTATGTCGGAAGCCCTCTGCCTTGGATTTCCTAAACAATGCTCGCAAGACGCTAACTCTACCATGCTTCTGCTGCCACTCGTCCTGCTGCCCTGACCAAGCAGAGGAAACAGAGCCACACTTTGTTGTGGCATCCTGGGGCCATCGCCAAGCGGGGATGGCAACCCAGAAAGCCGGTTTCATGTCGCTTTCGCGGTCTTGCTAAAAACTACGGCCGTCCAGACCGTTACGCGGGCCACTGGCATCAACATGCGACTGGAACGCTCACGGCATCCAACCTCGCAGGGGGAAGTCACCCCGATGGGGCGACGCCCCGTTTGCGCCGCTATCGCGCGGCACGGGTGCTAGTATGTGCAGAGAGGCAGCCATCTTCACAGGGGGGTCCCCCCCGAAGTGGCACTCAGCACGCAAGCGTCGCAGGCTGCCTGCATGGGCTGGGGCCCCTGCCGCTTTGCCACACCTACGGTGGGGCTAAAGCTCCCAGCGTCTGCCCGACCTGCCAGGGTCCCTGCACTAAGTGCAAGAGCCCCTGAATTCAGCGGCGGGGAAGCAATCGGGCCCACCTTAGGATCCGCTTCCTCCCCGGAGGGGAACCGCTGGGCAGTGCACGCCAGGAGTCAAATTGCGGACCACTGCTGCGGCAAGTTCGCTCCCCCAATATAGGATGCCACCCCGTAGGAGCCCCGATTCGACAGGATCACTTTGGGGCATGGGGTGAGGAGGGGGTGGCGGCCAGCGAAATCGATAAAGAGGTGGAACATCGACGGGTGTTCCTCACTAAGCACCTCAGTATCGTGGCTATCCGTCCCCCCCCAGCTTTAGTCTGCGCGGCGGACACCCGCATCGGCCAGACCCCGCCCCCTTAGGGGCTGAGGTGCGAGTGCACGACCCGCTGACTAAGGATACATCCGAGACATTCCTCCTCCCCCTCCTCCTTCTGCTTCTTCTCCTCCTCTCCTCCTCCTCCTCCTCCTCCCACCTCTCCCCTCCTCTCCTCCTCCTCCCCCTCCTCCTCCCCCTCCCCCCCCCCCCCCCTCCTCCCTCCCCCTTCCGTCCCCATTCCTCCTCCTCCTTTCTCCTCCTTCTTTCCTGCTCCCTCCCTCTCCTCCTCCTGCCTCCTGCTCCTCCTCCTCCTCCTGTCCTAGCTCCGCTTCTCATTTCTCCTCCCCTCTATTCCTCCTCCTCCTCCTCCTCCTCCTCCTCCTTCCCTCCTCCTTCTCATTTCCATCCCTCAGTCCCTGCACGGGGCCAGAAGCAATCCCAAACGCATCACACATCTCAGGGGGCAACAGGGCACCGATGCCGCCATTCGCACGGACCTCTCCTGGGGCGCTTCCCGACCAGAACTCCGAGGCGAAGCCAGCCGTGACGACGGAGGTTCTCCAGGACGAGCAGCGGCACCGAATAACAGTTTTGTGACCAGGCAACAGAAATGTGGCCGAATGATTTGTTGGTTCGGTCCCAGAGTTTGCAAGTCGGCCACATTTCTGCTCGGTCCCAACAACAAGTTTTGTTTGTTCGGTCCCGGTATCTCTTCCGCCCCTCCTCCTCTTCCTCCTCCTCCTCCTCCTCCTCCTCCTCCTCCCCCCTCCTGCTCCCCCTCCTCCTCCTCCTCCGCCCCTGAGAACATCGACGAACTCGGCGGGCGCGGTGCCAGCCCCACGAACGTCTCCACCGGAGAGAGCCCGCGCAGCTGGCGCTCGCCGGAGGAGGGCCAGTGGAGAGGCCACGGTGGCTCTCTCTTTGCGCGGGTCCAGAGATCCGCTCAAGATCGGGCCCAGGGCCCCTCCTGGGGTCCATCCTGACCAGCCTTTCGAGGCAGGAGGAGATGGTGGAGGAGGAGGAGGAGGAGGCGGAGGAGGAGGAGGAGATGGAGCGGGAGGAGGAGATGGAGGAGGAGGAGGAGGAGGAGGAGGAGGAGGAGGAGGAGGATGATGATTCTCCCGCTCGCGCGCAAGCGAGCTGTCTCCGTGCGGGGCCGCGGCGCCGCGCGCGCGGAACGGCCCAAAATGGGCAGGCCCGCCCCGCGCGCCCGAGCCGGGGCGCCGCCTCAGGCGGTGGAGTCCGCCTGGTCGCCGTAAACGGCGATGCAGCGCCACATCAGCCAAGATGAGGGAGAGGAGGGAGGGGGGCTGAGAAGCTGCAGAGACAGCAAGAGCGCGGGTCGCAAGGAGAATAGAGAGGAGCATTCTCCCGCTCGCGCGCAAGCGAGCTGTCTCCGCGCGGGGCCGCGGCGCCGCGCGCGCGGAACGGCCCAAAATGGGCAGGCCCGCCCCGCGCGCCCGAGCCGGGGCGCCGCCTCAGGCGGTGGAGTCCGCCTGGTCGCCGTAAACGGCGATGCAGCCATACCCATGCTCAAAGCCCTTGCGCAGTGACAAGGTTTCGGCGGGCGGCCGATAGACGGGTGGTCCATACAGCAGGGCCGACCCCTAGAAGGGAAGCGACAAGGACGTCGCGGGCGGGCAGCGACAGAGGTCGCAACTGACAGTACGACAGGCGACCTGAGCACAAAGGGGGCTCAGGGAGAGCGGACAGCTCGTAGGGGGGCGAGAAGGCCGTTTAGACGATCAGCACGCCAATAGCCGAAAGCAAATAGTTTCACCGAGTACGGAAGCCGCAACGCGCGCAGGGCGGGAGCGGATCGGTGAAGTCCAAATGCTTACCCCCCTGCTCTGGCCGACGCAGCGTCGTCGGCTGAACAATCTGGCCGCTACTTAAGCCAGTGTCGTGAAACGTGGCTCCCCTGCTGAAGCGCCAGAAGGATGCACTCGAGGACCAGATTCAGGGTCGTCTGGGGAGCCTCGGCGCACGCTCCCATGACGTCCCCTGCGGCCACCTTGGCGAAGCTTGCGCCTTGCCGAAGCGCCAAAATGAGGCGCTCGAGGGCCCGATTCAGGGTCGTCTGGGGAGCCTCGGCGCACGCTCCCATGACGTCCCCTGCGGCCACTTCGGCGGAGCTTGCGCCCTGCTCGAGCGCCATAAGGAGGCACTCGAGGGCCAGATGCAGGGTCCTCTGGGGAGCCTCGGCGCAAGCTCCCCTGACGTCACCTGCGGCCACCTCGGCGGAGCCTGCGCCCTCATCGAGACTGGCCAACCCCAGGGGCGGCAGGATGCTCGGGGAGAGAGCAGCGGGCGGCTGCGTCGAGGCGCCACTGCCCCGCCTGTTCCCCCAAGCCGCTACTAGGGCGGAGGCAGGAACCAGAGCGCAGGTCTGGACGCGTTGAGGGGGCCCAGGGGCCCTGGCCAAGATGGCCTCGACGGTCGGCGCCTGCAGGCCCAGGCGCGCCGCTTCGTCGGCGGACAGGTGAGGGAAGTTCAGACGCGGAACGCGGGAATCCGAGATAGGGGACAGTGGGGCCGCACTCCCCTGAGTCAGAGTGGGCAAGGGCTGCTCGACGGCCTCGGAAGCCGTGCGCCGCGCTGCGAAGGCTGCAGCCGCGGCGCTCCCGGGGTCGCCGCTGTGGGTGCCGCTGGGATGCAGCTCGCGCCCCGAGCCCCGGCCAGGCGCGAGGCCGCTCGAAGACCCCCGTTCCTCGGCGGCACGCCCTCCGCCCTGCGGGGCCGCAGCAGCATCGCTGGAGGAGCGCGTGCCTACCGAGGACGGGGGGCCTGAGCAGCGGGGCCCGCGCGGTAGCTGCCTGCGCGGGCGCCGCCCGAGCTCGCACCCTGGCGGGGCGCGGCCTGCCGAGGCGCCGTAGCTGGGCTCGGGCGCCGCTTCGGAGCGACCCGAGGGGCGCGCGCCTCGCGACGCCGAGGCGACGTCACCTGTCGCGAGGGCGCGCGGGGGGAGCCGCGGGCGTCCCTGGAGCGCGACGCCTCTCGCCTGTCTGAAGGGCGAGGGGGCGGAGGCGGCGGCGGGAGCAAGGGCCGCGGAGGCTCGGAGCCTACGCGCGGACCGCGGCCCCGAGAGCGGCTGCGAGCCGAGGCGCGAGCGGCGGGCGGGGAGCCCCCCGAGCGGCGAGGAGGGTGCCCCCTGTTACCGCGCTGCTGCCTGCCCCCGTGGCTGCGGGGAGAACCCCTCCTGCTGCCGGAGCGCTCATGAGAGCGGGAGCGCTCGTCGCGGGGTCCTCGTTCAGCCGAGCCACCAGGGAAACCGTCTGCAGGCGGCGGAGGACCTCGGGGTTCATGCCCGCCACGACGCGCTCAAGGTCCATCGAAGAGTCCGCGAGGGCGCTCAGAGAGGCGAGCGCGCCCTCTTGCAGAAGGGCGTCGTCGGAGTCGAACGCCTCGTCCTCGTCGCACGCGGGTTCCGCTCTCGAACGGCTGCGAACGCTCGCGGGCGGTGACCCGTCGGGCGAGCGCGGGGGGCACCTCGGGGCTCTGGCGTGGGGGCCCTCCGGTGCCACTCCCGCGGGCGGCTCCGACGGCTCCTCGGGCGAGAGCGGGCCGTCGACGGGAGGCGAAGAGCCGCCCCCCGAGGGAGAGGTGTGGTCCCTCCCGTACGGGGTTGGAGACCGCGTACGGCCGCGGGCAGCGCTGGGGCTCCGCTGTGGGGAGCCCACTCCCGCGGCGGAGCTGGGGCGTGCCACGCCTGCCCAGCGGCGCGCTTTGGCTGTGCGACGCGCCCTGCGGCCAGGCGCCGTGGCGGCTCCCCCCTCAGGGGCGGGGAGCGCCGCCATCGAAGCCCGCCGTTGCCTGGCGGCGCGCCTGGTGCGCGCGGCGCCCGTGCGCGAGGCGGAGTGCGGCGCGTGACCACCGCGGGTGGGCTGGTCCTCGACCGCCTCATCCCGCGGGCCCGGGCGGGCGCGGACTGCGCGCCGCTCACGGAGGCTGAAGCGGGACGCAGGGTCGTCGGCGGGCCGCGCCAGGGCGCGCGGATCCTCGGCCTCCACCTCGGCCAAGGAGCGGCCAGTAGACGACGCGGGTGCGTCCCCACCGCGAGCGGCGCGCTCCTCGTTGGCGAGGCCCGTCTTGACCTCAGCGTTGTGCAGGACGGCACGCGTTTTCTGCGGGAGGGGCCCCTCGGCGGGCGCCCTGGCCAACGGCCTCGGCCCAAGCGGAAGCCTGGACGGCTGGCTCGCCTGCGGAGGCGCGAGCACGGCGGACGCCGACTGATGCGCCGCCGCCTTCAGCAGCAGGGACTTCGCGTCGCGCAAGTCCTTCCACCGCTGGACCGCTTCGGCAGCTGTCAACCCCGCGGGTGCCTTGTCGGGGCGGCACGGGACCGAGAGGCGCCGGAACGAGCCCTCGATCGCGTCCCTGTGGGCGCCCTCCGCGACCCCGAGCACTTGGCGGGCTCGGCCCAGGCGGGCGGCGCGCTGGAAGGCGCGAGGTGTCGCGGCCTCGCGGCCCGTCGGGAAGTCGCGCCCAACTGTGCGAGCTTGGCCACCCCCGACGGCAGGCTGGGGGCCGACCGCGTCTTGGGACGCGCGTCGGGGGCCGACGAGAGCGCGGGGGGAGCAACAAGGCGGGCTGCCCCCTCCGCGCAGCTGCCGGGACCCTCGTCGCGCGGCTGGAACAGCGCGTTCCGCGGCCCCACACGGGGGCCGAGCGCCACAGCGGGCGCCCCGTCAGCGCTGCAGGCGCCAGGGGCTCCGGCAGTTGGCCCCTCGGCGTCGTCTGCAGCGGCGGTCAGCCCCACGCCCGCCGCGAGGTGGGAACAGGCCGCCCCATTGTGGCCCACGGGGCTGTCGAGGAGCCCTCGAGACAGCAGCAACGCGACAAGGCGTCCCCACAGACATGTGGGATAAGGTGCACGGGAGTCCGCGTATGCGACACAATCAAACCTGGTGAAGTCTCCCGCTTCGGCTTCAACCAGCCAGGACGGTGGAGGTATAGAAGGGGGCCTGACGGGGCGATTCCTGGTAGGATCGTCTGCTCGATGCACATCCGTTGGCACGTATAACCCTCCCATATAAAGACCTCCCCCGATCACATAAGGCAAAGTGGTGGAAAGAACGTGGGACAACCCAGGGGAGCTGCTACGCCCGTGAGCGGACGCCCCCAGGGCCACCTTCGAGTCCAGAAGAACTGGAATACGGGAGTCTGGGATCCGAATACAGCAGTACTTGCAAAGACTCTTATAAACGGTGGTCTCGAGGATGTTGATGTGACGCGGCATGCGGAACTCCCATTTATACGCCAAGCGAAAGCGAATCGCCTCCGAGAGCTCGGTACCCAGCGCGGCGCGACGGGAGGCTCAAGAGAAGGCAGCCCCAGGTCGCGGTGCAGCTGGGTAAGCTCAGGGCCCAAGGATTCGCCGCGGCTCAGAACGGCGAGGAGGCTCCGATTGTGCAGAATCGCGTGCCACCCCCCGTGCTCAGATCGCCGCCACAGCTCGGCAGACAACTGGGAGCTGATCGGAGCGCGGACCACTCCCCCCCAGCCGAGGGATGCGTCCGTACCGAACACTTCGGAGCAGGGGCGCGCCCGAAGGTCGGTTATAGCGGTGAAGGCCAGAAAGGTACAAGCCAAAAGTTCGTCACGCACCGAGGGAGGAAGATCGTACTCGATCCCGTCCTCAGTTGCCAGACGTGACAGAAAGTTGTAGACATGCGTAAATATGGCCAACAGTGGGCGGCGGTAGAGGAAAACTTGCACCCAACAACCGACAAGAGATGACAAGAGGGACCGTGTAGTGATGCCGAGATAAATCTGTATCAAGGTCAGCCTGCACAGGGCAACGGTCCGCACCAGGGGGGCGCAGACGATACCGATACGTCCCTCTACTTCGGCCCCCACCACAACTTTGTGCGTCTCCCCGCGGGCGCGTTTGCCTGGGTGCTGCACCAGGCCCACGCGCGGGTACCCTTTGTCGCAGGCGGCGAAGACCTCGCGATCCCGACGATGAGGGTCGTCAGGGCGAGGCGCCGTCCCACGCCAGGAGAGCTTTTGGAAGCCAGTATGGTCGTCAATGTTCAGCATCTCCACGAAAGGGCCCCGGGGGAAGGGCAACCGATGCACGACTTGTTCGTGAGGTCGTAAGGCGCCGAAACTTCGCAGAACACCCTCATGGGCTGAGTTGGCAATTTCAACCGCCATGTTGTCGCCCATCGCAAGAGCGTTCAAGCATGGGGCGACGTCCACGCCCTCGAGCACGGGCCGCCAGGCGCGAAATGCCTTGAAGCGGGCCGAAGGCAGGCGAACTCGCAGAGCGTTTCGCCGAGCGCGGGCGGGGGGGACGCGGAACGTGTAGTAGAACACCCGCAAGTCGTCGCAGGAGACCGCCAACCACTCGCCAGGCTCCAGGCCCAGGCGGCACAGCAGGAAGCCCTGGCCGAGCCGCTGCGTGCTGGACGAGATGGAGGCGCAGCGGCTGTTGACCACTGTAGGGTTAAGGATCAGACGATCGAATTCGCTGTCCTTTGGAACCCTGAAAGCTCCACAAGCTTCATCCCAGGCGAGGTCCGAAGCGGGAGTCAGGTAGAGAGCGCCGCAGGCGTCCCACTTCTGGAGCAGGGCCCACAGCTCAGCGCGGTCCATATGGACACGTGCACCCTTCTGGCCTGAAGGCCACTCTGCCGACGGCAGCCGCATCACCTCGGGGTCGAGGAACGCCTCGCGCACACGCGCGTCGGAGAGGAAGGGAGTGGGATCGAACTCGGGCGAGTAATCCCACTTGATGCGGGAGGCCCGGACCTTGAGGTCGAAGGGCTCGGCTTGGGTGGGGTCCCAGGCCGCCGCAGAAGCCAACGAACCAGGCACGGGCGGAGCGCTGGTCGGGCAGTGCCGCATGGGGGCAGGCACGGAAGAGGAGGAGGTGAAGGAAACCTCAAGAGCTACGACATGGGTGGCCAGGCCATGGAGCGAGACTTCGGTGGAGTCGAACTTGGCGAAAGCCCGACCAAGGTCGCTCTTGCCACCGCGGGCACGGCGAACTGCGATCCGACACAACCGCTCAATGCGGGAGCGAACGCCCTCCTGGCAGGGCGAGGCCGTGGCGCGGACTCGGGCTTCGGCGGGAGCGAAGCTAGGGTGACCCAGCGTGAGCCAGTTCAACGCTATAACGGAATACTGCGCAAGAGTCCGTGCCGCGCGCCTGAGCCGCCAACGCTCCCTGCGCCTCGCTGACAGACCATCAGGCGGGGGACCAAGAGGTGGGGCAGGCGGACACGGCCAAGGATCGCGGGGAGGCGGCCCCAAAAAGTTCGGGTCGTCCCGATCCAACGCACGCAAAGATGAGCGGGAGAATGAGCCCAGTGAACAACGAGCACCCATCCCGACCTGAGACAGCGCAGCTGCCCAGTGGGGGATATCGATGTTTGCGCCAGGAAAAAGACGCAGCAAGGAAGACACGTCAGCGACAAAGGGCGCGACTTTAGCAAGGGCAGCGGGGGTGCACGCGACAGGACGCGCGCCAGCAAGGACACCGCTCTCAGGGGCTGCACACCCCGTGCGGGGGGGGCTCGACTGAGGGCAGTGGTGGCCAAAATGGCCGGGTGGATACGAGGGGCGGCTCGGAGCGAAGCGAGAGGCGTGATGGCGGAACGAACTCCTCCCTGCGGGGCCGCACCAGCATCGCTGGAAGAGCGCATTCCTACCCTCACGGCCTCGCTGCGCCCAAGCGCGCCTAGCAGCCGCAGCAGCGTCAGCACGGACTGACTGCGGCGCTGAACCTCGGCCACTGGAGGCAGCTCCCTCGCAAGTGACGGGCAGCAGCGGTCCCGTCACTGCTTCTGGGGTGGCACCTTCGGTACCTTGGGAGGCACCTTTGGAGTCCTGGGCTGCTTGGGTACGTGAGGCGGCTGCTGGGGAAGCGCGGCGGCGCGCTCGGCGTCGAGGCGCGTCCGAAAAACCTGCAGCTCCTTCAGGTACTCGCCCTGCGCGGACAGCCAGCGGAAGTCCACGAGGGGTGAAAACGGGGACTGCGCCTCGCGCTCCGTGTGCTGACTGGTGACGCGACATGGAGTGGGCTCCACCCCCGTGAGGAACCATGCGGCCTCTAGGCAGCCGCGGTCCCCCGCCTGCTGATCGATGAACATGCACAGGCAGGTCAGCAGCGTCTGAACCCCGAGCGGGTCTCGCACGGCGGGACCGTGCTGCGCCAAGGTAGCATGCCAAGCGCGCCGCCGTGCGATCCCCCGCATCTGAGTGGACGAAGAGTTGAGGTCGCCCGAAGATGCGGACGGGGCCTGAGCGTAGTCGCTCAGAAACCCCAGTAGCGGATGAGCTGCTGGGCGGGAGCCCCGCCCCTGCTGCAGGGCTAGGGCTGGAGACTGATGCAAGCACATCAGCGCCATGCTGAGGTCCGACTGGGGAGCCGCAGGAGGCGGGTCCACGGCGTCCGCGCCGCCCGCCTCGGCGAAGCCGCCGACCGAGGCAAGGTCGTGTCGCCCAGGCGGAGGCGCGGGGCCCAGCGGCGAAAGGCTTTGCTGATGGCCTTGGGGTGGCCAGGGGCAATGCAGCCATCCTGTCGGCCACGTCAGCCAGGTCCGAAGGAACCCCGAGCGACCGCGGCAGGTCGTGAGCGCTCGAATGACCCGCTGAGTCTGACAGGGGCGCGGGAAGGTCGCCGCGAACCCTGGGCGCCCGCAGCACGTCGCGTGGACTCGAGCAGATAGCACCGCTCGTAGGAGACACGAAGGCGGCCGGCGACGCGTCGAGTCGGCGCAGAGAAGAAGGGCACCGAACGTGGGCTGACGACGTCCCGTTGCCAACGCGGGACGCGCCCGCGCCACATGGAGTAGGATTTCGTGCACCTGACACGTCGACCCCGCTCGCGGGACAGGTCGGCGGCCAGAGCCCGCCCGGGTCGCCCGTGCAGCCGAACTCAGAAGTAGACTCTGCCAGCACCGACGCTGTGTCGGGCGGGGGCGTGGGGGGGTCCCCATGCACCCCGAGCGACCGCGGCAAGTCGCAAGTGCCCGAGCCCGCAGCACCGCGCGAAGGCACAGCGGCGGCGGGTGGAGGAGTAGCCTGGCAAGCAGCCGCAACGAGAACCCCCCGTGAAACAGCGGCATCGGCGGCTGACGCCATCGCATATGTCCTCATGTGGGGCGGCAGGGCTGACAAGGATGAGGCTGGATCCCCGAATAGCCCGAGCGAGTGCAACAAATCGCGGGCGCCCGCACGCGGGGATGGACCACTGGCGGCGGGCGCGCCGACACCACCCACGAGGCTGGTAGGCGGTGGGAGCCCTCCGAAATCACCATACCAACCCAAGTCACGGGCAGCGCACGCCCAAAGTGAGGCGGGATCAACAGCGTTACGGTGGAGCGACGGGAGCGCCTCGGGGTCGGCGAGACCTGGCGGCGGCCCCGCCCGCCCGGCTTGGAAGGGCGATCCACCACCGACGAGAAACGACTCCGCGGGCGTGCACGGACTGATCGCAGGCGGCACCCGAGCGCCGGCCTCCATGCCGGAGAAACGCGGAAACGATTCCACACGCCACACAGCCGGCTCCAACGGCGCGACCAAACCGGGTGGCGGACGAGGAGGCAACCCCGTCGGAACCCGTGGCGACGGCGGCCTTCGCTCGGCAGCCGATGGAGGGCCTAGGCCCGGAGGGGGGCCGATACCCAATTCGGCGAGGCCTGGGGGCGGCAGGGGACGCCTGCCCTGCAGCGTCGGCGGCGGGA